TTCTTTCCTTTTCTTTCCTTTTCTTTCCTTTTCTTTCCTTTTCTTTCCTTTTCTTTCCTTTCCTTTCCTTTCCTTTTCTTTTCTTTTCTTTTCTTTTCTTTTCTTTATTCTAAATATTACTTTCTTTTAGTTTTTATCTTGTTTAAAATCTTACTTTAAAAAAAACAGTAGTGTAACACAGCGTTATGCCATCGTGATCTTGCAGAGAGAAACAGAAGCGGAGCGGGAGAATATCGTCTGGGAGTGGAAAGAACTGCAAAGATTCCTCCGAGATCAAGAAGAGGTTTTGTTAAGGCGGTTGGAAGAGCTGGAGAAGGACATCATTGCGAGGAGAGACGAACACCTTTCAGGAAAAGGCCCGGGCAGATCCGGCAAGGGGCTTCTGTCAAAGGTGGGAGATTGAAACCCACTTTCAAAAATGGGATGTGATTTTCAACCTTTATTTTTACTTATTTGAGAAGATTCATCTGCTACCTTCTCAATTTATACCTCTGGGCTAGTTATAATAATGCCTCCTTCAAAGTAATTCTTAAGAGGCAGCATTTAACCAACTGTGACTGATTTCAAAGAGCTAAGTAGGATCGGGCTGTGTTAATTTTTGGATGGGAGATAAGCAAGAAATTAGACAGCAATGCTTATCTTAAGAAATAAAAATAGATACAGTAGTACAATGATGATAGTAAAAAGCCTGGGTATGTTTTAAGCCTCATTTTTGGCTGAAATAAAGAGGGGTCTTGCATTAAATGAAGCAGCAGTCTGGGGAATATTCTCCCCTTTTGATTTGTTTTTAAAGTGAAATAGCTGCGTCAAAGCTAATAAACTCTTAGCATGCTTTTAATGGGAAAGTGCCTCCTTGTTTGTTGCTTGTTTGCCCCCTTCCCCCCCCCACACACTTGAGCTTAGTCCAAAAGGTGCAAATTAATAAGGCAGCATTAAGGGAGGCATATTGACATTTGAGATTGTTCTAAAGCTTGACTGTCCCATGTCTTTTGTAAGCGACTTTGACAGCCTTTTGACAAATGTCTGAAGCAGTGTTTCTCAATCTTAACAACTTTAAGATATCTGGACTTCCCCAGGCTGGCTGGGGAATTCTGGGAGTTGAAGTCCAGACACCTTAAAGTTGCCAAGGTTGAGAAACACTGGTCTGAAGGCTTGTTACCCTGAGTAGGGAGTGGAGTGTTCTCTGGTGTGCCAGAGAACAGGATCAGAGCTGGTGGGTTAAAACAGCAAGGAAGAAGGATCAGGCTGGACATCAGGAGAAACTTTCTGACTGTACCATCTGTCAGCCAGTGGAACAGGCTGCCACATGAAGTGGTGAGTCCCCCTTTGCTGGATGTGTTCAGCAGATACTGGATACTCATCTGTACTGGGTTCTTGCACTGAGCAGGGGTTGTACCAGATGACTTCTGTAGTCATTTCAATCTCTACGAGTCTGTGAAAGTTAGCATCTCACATACAGGGAGTCCTCACTTACCATCTGCCTCATTCAGTAACCATTCATAGTTACGACGGCACCAAAAAAGGAGGTTTACAACCGGTCCTCGACCTTGTGGCTGGTGCAGCGTCCCTGCGGTCACATCGCAATTCAGGCATTTGGCAGCTCGTGCACATTTACGAGAGTCGCAGCGTCCTGCAGTCATGTGATCGCCATTTGCGACCTTCACAGCCAGCTTCTGACAAGGAAAGTCAACGGGGAAGCTGGCAGGAAGTTGCAAGTTGCAGTCATGTGACATGGTACTCAATGACTGCAGGTGACATCGTAAGTCAGGTGCAGTCACATGATGTTTCACTTAACGACCGTGTTAAGTTGTTATGCTAAGTGAGGACTACCTGTAATCCTTTATATGTCTACTAATCAAACTGAGTTCAGTGGAGCATTGTCTCAGGAAAATGTTTTGAGAATTATTGGAATAATTGATGAATTATGGGAATAATGAATGAATCATATTGCTCTGTTGTTGCTTTAATTAAAACTAGTTCTATGCTTTGTATCAAGCGTTCACTTGTTGTTTATGGGGAAAATGTTTATCTAATATTTCTTTTATATGGGGAAATGGTTATAGAAATGGGGAATCTGAATGATTCCCAGACTTTCATGCCTGATAGATTTCCCTTCTGTTTTCTTTTTTTTGCTGCAGAACCTCAAAGGAGCAAACAAGGGGTACGTTTGCTTAACTGTCGGGTTGGCCTCAGAACAGTCCTGGACTGGAAAAGCCCCTTGGCTCTTGTGTTGTGTATTGTGCACAGATTATGCCTGCTTGTAATTGTATTTTTCTTGTTTTTCATTGTACTGCTAGGAGATATTTGCTTTGGACGGGCAGCTATGTAAATTTCATAAATCAATAAAATCAGTAAACAAATATTAGAGGAAGGTAAGAAGAGTGTTTGCCTTGCCGAAAAACTATTCAGAATCTTTGCTATGAGATGGTTAGCCATGTTAATCATATAAACAAACAAAACTGGTCTAGCCTGAGGGAGGGGAACAGAACATGATTGTTAGAGTAATTCCTGCAATCAATATTAGAAGTATTAATTTCGATGCTTGTAAGAAGCATTAAGTAAACATCATCAGCCTTAAATTCTGTGGGCAAAAAGCTTCATGCTTGCTTATGGAGTGTTCCCGTGTGATTGCATCCAATGTAGGAGGCCTGATAGTTTGGGCTTATAAAAATATATATAGAGAGAGAATCAAAATAGACAAGAAGCGGAATCAAAACATCAGATTAAACTAGGAAATCAGTACTACGTGTTAGATAGACATCAGACAAGGCCTGTTGCTTCAACACTAAAAGGCACCTATTTTTAATTTCTTTTGTCTTTCATCATCAGGAAGAATGGGGCGTCTTCTAAGTTTAAGGGAGAGTTCATGGAGCTGGAACACAGGCTCAACCGTTTTTCTAGAAAGAGGATTGAACTCAAAGAAGTGCTATGTACATTTAAAGGTGAGTTCAGACCAGTGATGGAGATACTAGTCTAGGAGCAGGGAGACCCAGGTTCTTGTTCCTCCTCAGCCACAGAAACCCCTTGGGGATTTTGGGCCAAACCTTCCCTTTTGGTCCAAAGTCCAAGGTGGGTTAGTGGGGAAGGGGTTGGACTAGGACTGGGGAGACCCAGGTTCTGGTTCCCCCTCGCCCATAGCAGCTCCATTGGGGGGTTAGGGCCAGTCCCCCCATCTTAGCCCAAGAGCCACTGGGGTTAGTGGGGAAGATGCTGGACTAGGAGCAGGGACACCCAGGTTCTAGTTCTCCCCCACCCATGGAAGCTTCCTGGAAAGCCTTTACCTTCCCCACCCCACCCCACCACCCCTGGTGTGCTAGATTTTATCGTAGCTTCATCAGAAACTCACAAGATACAGAGGTTCAAAGAACAGTTATGGAGCTGAGCCTGCTTACTGACTACAGGGAGAGAGGAAACTCACAAGATACAGAGGTTCAAAGAACAGTTATGGAGCTGAGCCTGCTTACTGACTACAGGGAGAGAGGAATGGAAAGCAATGTCTTGGCAAACAGCAGGACTGATTGGTGGGACCTAAATGGAAATTTGCAAATGAGTTTGATGGACCATCCAATTGGTCCATCCCGTTGGCAGTCCTCGGTCCCCTGGAATAGTGCCGTTGAGAGCCAGGAATGACATTAAGAATGAGTGGTTTCTTTCTCAGAGGCCTCCTGCTCCCATTCCCACCCCAAAGAGTAGATTTGAATTAAGCTATAGAGCAGTGTTCTCAACCTTGAGAACTTTAAGATGTGTGGACTTCAACTCCCAGAATTCTGGGAGTTGAAGTCCACACA